CCATTAATATGGTAACAACTTGCAGATCTTCTCTGGATCTCTCTTTTTTGGATCTCCAACACAAAATCTTGAAGGCTTTCTCTCTGATTTTCTCATAGACAACACAGAGCCACCATCCCACACTCAGTGTTCTCCTCATCTTGATGGAATGCTCCTCATTCTTCTGCCCTCTCCACCCTGTAAACACTTGCCCTGAGCAACCTACAACTGATGGAAACTATTATGGCCACTATTGGCACAGAACACATGATAAAGGATTTTGCAGCCATTTTGTGTGGTGATGACAGCTTTTCCAAAAGGTCACTCTTTTTTTTTCCTGAGACAAAATCAGAAGTTGTTAGGATCTGTGTTCTCTTTTTCTCAAGTAATCAAATGTTCCTTTCATCACCCCTGCCCAATTCAAGAGTCCTCCAGCTTTTCTAACCACTAATACAAGGACCATAGTTTCAGGAGTTATAGCACTCCCATGAGATACAAAGAAAACAAGACAGAGAAATAAAGAGAGAAAGAGAAGGCACTGCTGAACATTGTACTCCGTCACTGAAGGGAGCAACAAAACTTGTGAACTTACTGGGTGCAATCAAAGAGCAGTCAGTACTAAAGATGGCAGTACAAACCACGTGGCTACCTGAAATCATGGAGAGGGCTCACTTCTCACATGCCACTCAGAATCAAGGCCAAAGTCTCAGGTTCAGGGAGGTGTCTCAAGTCAGCAAGTTGTCTCGTGCTCTGTTCCCTTGGACTTACACCCCTCTAAGCTTGGCTTAGCTGGCCTACACAGCCAGAGTTAGTGCGGATATCATCTATAATTCCTGTACGCTGACCATTTTAATTAAAAACTTCACCTTGCCAGCATAACACTCTTTAAATTGACCACCCTTACAATACTTGCGTCTTTCGATCCACCGTCTCTCATAAAACTGCCTGACCTTTAAGTTCATTACGTTCTTAAAATTATTGCCACGTTCTTAAGATCGTTGCTCTGCATTCAGAGGGTGAAACTGTTCACCAAATTAGTATGTCATATCTGAGCCACTACCTGCAAATTTCTAGTATCCCCATTTAAGTGGAATTGACTAGTCACAGCACAATGGAAATAAGATCAATAATCACAGACTCAAATTTGCCATAGATTTGTTAAACTTCACTTCCTGCTATCATGCCCCCAATAGGTATAGTCGAAGATACATCCCTGCAATCTGTTCCAGATACATTATAAATGCCTTAGTCTTCCAAACACTGAAACGAAACCAGCAGGAAACACTGCACTTACTGTTATCAGTGAAGACTGTATCCATCTACGTAACTGTGCCCTCAAGAGGTTACAGACAGCATAACTTTCACCTCAGTTGCCAGTTCTTCGAAGCAATCCAACAGAAATGTCTGTGAAGCATGTGCTGAGACACTGCAGCAGCAGTTTGCCGGCTTTGGACTGCAGAGCACTGACAGCCATTGCAGAATTTCTGGCCTTGGGGTGTTGGCTACTGCTTGTCGCCCCTTACCAAATTGCCTTAGAAAAAAGCTAAAAATAGCATTGTTTTTCACATAAGCAATTGCTGTAATAGCTACAGAGCTGACATGTAATCATGCATGGGAAAGGAAGCAGTTCCCATAATTGCACATGGGAGAAGAAGTCCATGATGCAGTTTTCCTACTAGGAACAGAAACTCAGCATTTATCATCCCAGAGTCATCTTAAAATATATGCGTGCTTTGTAGCCAGGATTATCTGAAATAGTAAATATAGACCAAGTATGTAAGATTAACCCATACCTAAAGAGCCCTTCTGTTTCTGCACGTATCTGCAGTTTCTGGCAGGTTCTGCCATTCAATTTTTTATGAGGAAAGCAGATTTATGGTATAAGCACTCATGAATAATTCACTCCCCAGGGTTGCCACATACAACTTGGGGAAATCCCAGCTGTAAAAATTTGGCACCATTTAGCTAGTGCAAGCTGCACCACTTTTATACAGGTGTTATTCCACTGATCTACTTGGAGTTACTCCTCGTCTGCACTGCTAGAAGAGTAGGATCAGGCTGTTTGCTTATCACTTCTGGTAAGCAAATCTCTCTGTCACCTCTTCACCATAGTAAAAATACTTCCAGTTTTGGAGTAAGTTAGTTTTAGCAGCCTTAGTTCTTTGGCTCACCACAGCTTCAGGAGCTTGTACATCTCACTCACTCGTGGGCCTCACATAATACTCCATTTAGTTCCTCATCAAATCTGTCTTTTAAAATCATACTGAAAAAATTACTTGGATCCTAGACTAACAGAACACCACTAAAGCAATAAACTAGCTACACTGAGCATGTCTTTATGCTGGTTTCTAGCTTCCAGAGGAAAAAAAAAAATTAATCCCAACACTTATCTTCCACCACTGGAGCAGGACCCACACCGGGATGGATGTTGGTGCAGATGAAAAGAACAGAAAGTGAAACAGCCTGGCCATCTCCACGGTTTGACAGCGGAGGAGGAATAAATAGTATCACTCAGTGGACTGCTTATTTGCCCAGGCTTTTTCTTCTTAAAAAGATAAGAGAAGGATCTTTAATAATAATTAAAAAATTACATTGTGAGAGTTTTATTTGGTTAGATTTCCAAGTGCAGGCCAATTAAAACTATAATCACTATACTGCTACTTAGCCACATACATTGCAGTGTATAACTAAATCTACAACTATATTACAGAGAACAAAGACATGGCATTCCTTTTTTTTAAAGTGAACAGCTTGTGGTTATCTTGACATAAAACAACCTGATAATTATAGTGCCTGAGTTAGACATCTGAATAAATGTAGCCATGTCATTTAAACAATGAAGCTATACTGATTTATAGTAGCTAACGATCTGATTAAGAATGTAAGGACCTGATCTTTACCCTAATACATCCCTTCAGTTCATCCAAATTATTGGCTTTCACCACCTGCCCTTTCCCTTATGTTCCTACAGCTGGGTTTAAGAAGGTTAAGAAATGACAGGTTTTCACTTTGTTCGTTTCTTACACACTTCCAGCAGTGCTGAGTGAAATGAGAGACAACCATAAAAACCAGTAGAGGGGAAAATCAGACATGCTGTGTAACTAATTTCTGAACTGTAAGCAAAGTTGTTGGCAATTTTAATTTCACATCATAAGTTCACATTTCTTTGAATTGTCACTGAGGACAAGCACTACCTGCTCACACCCTTACAGGTGGGATGGGATGCTGCCTACCCAGCAGGGAAAAGATCCAGGGATGGCCATGGTGTGGTCTGAAGGGACCTCTCACCTCCTCACACAGGATGCACCATTCCACCTGGTAGAAGGGTGCACACCTTCAGCCCACACCAGTGTCATGGAGGAGCAGGGTTCCTCCTAAAGTCCCCAGCTGACTGTCCACTGCTAGAGCTCCCATGTTTGCTGGGGTGGCCTTAAGCAGCCACAGGCATGGTGGGCCCTGCTCCCTGGGCTGGCAGGGGAGCACAGCCTCGAGAAAGGGGCTAAATGCAAATTAAAACCAGATGAGCCAAGCCAGCAGTTGGAAAGAGAGGGGTGGTTACAACAAAAGCCTGTGATGGCTGTAAGTGAGAATAGCCAGAGCAGGCAGGCCTGCAGGGTGCCACCCAACCAAAAATGCCCTCCACCCCCCAGCTGCCTGGCTGGAGCTGTATAATGTAGCAGGATTGAAGAAGCTGCAACTCCAAGCAGAGTTAACTCTCCTGCAGCTGCTGCACTTCCAAATTGTCAGCCAGATTAAACACAGAAATGCCTGTGGGTTGCAAAGCTGAGGGTGAAGCGACAAGGTCGGCTTGCTCTAAAGTTCAGAAACTACTCCAAAAGCTGGAGGCAGGGCTTCCCATGGCCAGGAGGGAGCTGCACCAACGTCACCTGGCTAAAGGCTTGGCATGAGGCCCTTTCCTTGCCTCGGCTTTCCACCTTGACCTGGACAGTAGTGTGGGTTTTGTCTTATTCTTCTGTAGGTCTGCAGACTCAGGACATATCCAGACTACCCTTGTGGGGCAAGTTTCTGTTTGGAGGGGAGAAAGGTGGGGTTCCTGCTGCAGCCCACTGCTCTGGGTGCCTGACTGGGACCAGACACTGCAGGGCACCTGAAACGCTGGTGCCTACACTGCCCTGGCACCCAAAGCTCAGGCAAACACGTTCCCTGACAGAGCGAGTACACGGGCAGTGGAACACTTGTCCCAGGCAAAAGTGAGTGCCACTGAGTCGCATGTCACCGATGACAAGAGAGTGATGATTTACTGGGAAGACTGCTCTATAAAAAACACACTCAAGGATCCTGTTTATTGTCTCATACCCTTCAAATACTCCACGGTTACAAACGCTCCATGCAATTACAAGCTAAAAAAAGGAGAGAAGGTAACTCTCCCACATGCTGTCTAGCCCGTTAACTGAACAAATCCATGGCCCATCAGCAGGCAGCATTGGTCAGACAGCCCAGTGGGGCTCCTCCTGAGAGATGGTGGGCCACCTCTGACCAGCATAAGCAATCCCTACTTCAAACCTGGGCCACAGACTTTTTGCCAGATTCACACAGATGCAGAGCAGAGGTGGAGGGAGATGTGCCAGTGATGGGGGTAGGAAGGAGAAAGAAGAGAGATTGTACCCAATTAATAGTCTGTCTTCTGCAAAACCATGATGCTCTGCAGCTCTCAGGCTTCTCCAAATACCTCCATCCTAGCTGAGCTCTGCTGGAAACAACAGCCCACAAAACCACTGCAAAGATGCTGGTCCACAAAAGTCAACTTTCCATGCAGCTCTCAAAGGCTGTGCAATGACTGAGCAGGGACTAAGCACAAGAGAGTGACCACAGGCAGCTGCATCTCTGGGCAATATTCAGTCTTCCAAACAACCAGCTCAACTGTTGAGGGAGCCAAGTGCTCTCCCCCACCAGCAAAAAGTTTGATTCACCCCCTCCTGTTTCCAAAGCACCAGGGGTGTCTCCACACTTGTAAACTTACAGCCTGGGTGTTCCCATCCCTTCCCCACATTAGCACTTACCCCCCAGGAACTGGATGCCTCCTGCCACCCTGCCCACGGTCCTGGAGATGAGCTCGGACACGCAGCAGCCCATGAGTGCTGTCAGGGCCACCAAGAGGAGCAGCCCACAGCCCAGGCCCGTCACCACTGTGCAGATCCTCCACTCGGCACTTGGGATGGCCTGGAAGGAGGCATAGCGGCCACACTGCTCCACCATCACTGTTGTCTGGCGGCTCTCATCGCGCACCGGGTACGAACACCTCCGGAAAGTGCCAAAGGAAACCGACTTCTCCAGCTGAGAACCCAAGAGCCAGTAGGGCATGAAGAAGCCCACGCAGGAGGCGGCAGCGCAGAGGAAGGAGAGGAAGGCCCAGACCACACCAGCGCAGGTGAGGCTGGAGGCCATTTTTGTATCTGCTCCAAAGACTCCTCACGATGGTGAGACCGAAAGGCAGCTGTGTGTTTTAGGGGATTTTATGGATAATCCGGAGTCTCTCAGCCTTGACAAATCCTCGCACTGGGAGAAGCGCAGATCCTAACAGCCAGGGGGATGTTTCCTCCCATCATGAAGACAAAGGTCCCTAATTAAATAAAAACACACACCCAAAAAAAGGAGAAAAACACAAGTTCATTAATACATAAAAAAAATAAATAATAATGAAAGTTTACCTGCCAAGTGTTTTTCCTTCCTACAGGACACTTCACCGAGACATCTCACTCTCCTGGCCACCCTCGCAAGCAGCCGCTGGAGCTGCCGCCAGCGGGACCGGCTGGCGGGGCGGCGGGGGGGGGCGGCCCCGCTCCTCACTTTTCTCCACCGTATGTCTTGATCTATCCCCGCACGGTTAGAGAAAAAAAAGTGAGATCTCGTTTATCCTCAGCTAGTCGAGCTTTTGTCCTGCAACGTCTGGGGAATGTACCTCGCATTATACATGGCCCCTCAGCTTCAAGTGCAAAACTGCTCGCAGTGCCTGAGGCTTTTCACGACCCCTGTGGCAGAGACAAACCCCATTAACACACCCCCCCGGAGAAGTGTTACGAGGTGACTTTTTTTCCCAGCACTCCCTTAAGCTGTTGGCATCCCTGTGCAAAAGCAGCCCTTTATCACTTGATGTCCAGAAGTGCCAGGAACCCCAACTCCAAGGGGACTCCTGGCAGGTGAAGACTTAGCCACATCTTTTGGATTCACCCCCAAGCAACTGCAAGCAGCACGTAATTAAAACACAGGGGTCTCTTAATATTCCTGCTCACACTCAGCTAAGCTGCTTCTCCTCTTTGCCTCTTCCCAACTCAAACCCAGGAGCCTTAACCCCTCTGCACCCTTCTTAGACAACTCCCAGCCTCTAAGCTCAGTACCAGCATGACCAAGTACTTTCAACTGTCATAGAAACCCACACACTGCTTCCCAGAGGTTGGGGGTGTATTTCTTGTTATATCCATACAGGATCATTACTCCAACTGCATTTGCAAATTTATGCTCATTTTTCACAGCTGCTGCCAAATTAATTCTGATAGCTATTTACAGGGGTTTTTTTTCTTTTTATTCTTTCCTAAGCATGATTAGACACCAATCAGTGAATTCAATTCATGTACAGGCAATAAAATTAAGACTACTTCAATACAAGGAGGGAATGTAGAGAAAGAGTCTGTAAGAGAAATTAAGCATGTGCACTACTCAAAAGTTTTGTTTACTTTTAGAACACTAAGAAGTGTCTTCCATAATGTTAAAAAGGCCTGTACTGCTTTTCAAGAAGTATATACATATCTACTAGCCACAGAAATGCTTTCCAACCTGCAAAACACCAAACCTCTGGGGACAAAACTTGACAGAGGGGCAGAAGGTGCCTCCATCCTTCCAGAGGTATCTTCTGGATAAGGATCCGCCTGTGCCTCGGCGTGGCACAAAACGTCTAAGGCAAAGTGGGTCACGGCACTTGGCATTCCCTGAATGGGGGGAGGAGGTACAGCTGGAAATGGGGGGACAACGTGGAGGCTTCCAGGGGCAGAACCTCGCAAACCCACCGGCTCCGGCGGGGCAGCAGCTTTGCCCCTCCAATCCCGGAGGGTGTCAGCCCACAGCCGGGGTGCTCTCCGGAGCGGCGGAATCGCCCTCCGGCCCCGAAACCGCGCTCCCTTCCCTCCGGGGACTGGAGGGGGCGGCGGAGAGATCCGGCTCCCACCGAGGGAAGGCGGT